TCTTGGGACGACCATGGCTGTTTGATCACCGTGTGCAACATGATGGTTATGCCAATACTTATTCATTTTTGATGAATAAGAAGAAGATCACCCTTACCCCTTTACCTCCTCCCACACCCACGGCCAAACCAAACAAGGAACAACCTCCCGTTCTTATCTCCACTATCCTTCAAGCGGAACAACATGAATTCAATGGGATTAAAGATTTGATCCTATTGGAAGATGGAGAAGCTGAACCATCAAACTGCCCGAAACAGCCTCATCCCTTAGCCGAGCCTATCATCCTAGAATATGCCCATGTTTTCCCTAATGATGTCCCACACGGTCTCCCTCCTAAACGAGACATCCAACACAAAATTGATCTCATTCCAGGGGCTGCCCTACCCAACAAACCAGCATACCGAATGAACCCCGAAGAAACAAAGGAAATTCAACGTCAAGTTGATGAGTTGTTAGCTAAGGGCTTCGTGAGAGAAAGCCTTAGCCCGTGTGCTGTCCCTGCACTTTTGGTACCCACGAAGAATGGAACGTGGCGTATGTGTTGTGATAGTCGGTCTCTCAACAAGATCACTATCAAGTACCGATATCCGATTCCCCATTTGGAAGACATGTTGGACGAGCTGCATGGTTCCAAGATCTTTTCAAAAATTGATCTTAAGAGTGGATATCATCAAATTCGAATCCTTGAAGGAGACGAGTGGAAGACAGCGTTCAAGACAAAGTTTGGGTTATACGAATGGTTGGTTATGCCATTTGGATTAACCAATGCCCCGAGTACGTTCATGCGGCTTATGAATCAAGTCTTGAAGCCGTTTATAGGTCATTTTGTCGTTGTCTACTTTGATGACATTCTGATTTATAGCAAAAGTGAGGAAGAACATGCTAATCACCTCACTTTGGTGATTAAGAAGTTGGACGAGGAGAAACTCTACGGAAACATCGAGAAGAGCCAATTCTTTGCATATGAAACAGAGTTCTTGGGATAATTTATCTCAAGTGAAGGCATACGGGTGGACGAAAAGAAGACGCAAGCCATTAGAGAATGGCCGACCCCCACCACTATGCAACAAGTTCGGAGTTTTCATGGTCTTGCCTCTTTCTACCGGAGATTTGTGAAAGATTTCAGCACCATCACGGCACCTATCACGGACTTGACGAAAAATCAGAAGTTCGAGTGGAACTCCAAGGCCCAACAGGCCTTTGAAACAATCAAGGAGCGATTAACACATGCTCCCGTGTTAGCCCTTCCTAGTTTTGACAAACTATTCGAGGTCGAGTGTGATGCCTCGGGAGTTGGGATCGGGGCTGTCCTATCCCAAGAAGGACACCCGGTGTCGTATTTTAGCGAAAAGCTAAACGACACAAGAAGGAGGTATTCCACATACGACAAGGAGTTCTATGCACTGGTGCGGTCACTTGAGCATTGGCGTCATTACCTTGTGAGCAAGGAGTTCATATTACATTCCGATCATGAGGCGTTGAAATACATTCAAGGGCAGCATAAGCTCTGGCCCCGTCATGCTAAATGGGTCGAATACATCCAAACCTTCACCTTCACCATCAAGCACAAAAACGGAACCATGAACAAGGGAGCCGATGCCTTGTCCCGGAGGCACTTATTACTAACGGTACTTAGTACCAAACTTGTTGGCTTTGAATTTTTGCAGGGGCTTTACAAAGAGGATGAAGACTTCAAAGACACTTATTCCAAGTGCCTTATTCGGCCACATGGAGAATTCCTAATCAAGGACGGTTTTCTATTCCGAGGCAACCAACTTTGTATCCCGAAAAGCAGCATTAGGGAAACCCTTATTGATGAAGTTCACGGAGGAGGCCTAGCTGGTCATTATGGGGTCGATAAGACTCACATGATGATGAAGGAACACTACCACTGGCCAAGAATGGAACGAGACGTGGAGCACTTCATTAAGCGTTGCAACACGTGCCACCTCGCCAAAAGTCAGTCGCTGCCCCAAGGAAAGCATTTGCCCTTGCCCGTTCCCTTTGGTCCATGGGAAGATATCAGCTTGGACTTCATCGCCGGACTGCCGAGGACACAACGAGGCAAAGATTCCATCATGGTCGTCGTGGACCGGTTTTCAAAGATGGCCCACTTTGTACCATGCCTCACCACCTATGATGCTTCCCAAGTTGCTGATCTCTATTTCCGAGAGATAGTCAAACTCCATGGCGTTCCCCGAAGCAAGGTCTCGGATAGGGACAAGAAATTCCTTAGCCATTTTTGGATGACCCTATGGAGAAAGTTGGGTACTAAACTGAAGTTTAGTACGTCGAGCCACCCACAAACCGATAGCCAAACCGAAGTCACCAACCGCACCCTCGGAACACTCTTACGAGCCCTCATCAAGAAGAACATCAAGCAATGGGAAGAGCTTCTGCCGCACGCCGAGTTTGCCTACAACCGAACCCCGAACAAGACTACCGGACTATCCCCATTCACGGTGGTCTATGGTTCGAACCCCTTGACCCCACTTGAACTTGATCCGATCATCATGGAAACCAAATACAGTTGGGAGGCGGACAAGCGGTCAAAGGAAATCTAGGACCTTCACGCCAAGGTTCGAGACAAGATCGAGGCTATGAACGAGAAGGTAAGCGCACGCATCAACAAAGGAAGGAAGGATGTCCACTTCCAACCAGGAGACCTTGTTTGGATTCACCTCCGGAAAGAGCGTTTCCCCACGAAACGCAAGTCAAAGTTGCTGCCAAGAGCCGATGGCCCGTTTGAAGTCTTAGAGAAAATCAACGACAATGCCTACAAGATCAACCTTCCAGGAGATTATGGAGTATCGGCTACTTTCAATATCAAAGACCTTAGCCCGTACTTTGAGCCTGAAGAAATGCCGAGTTTGAGGACAAACTCTTTTGAAGACCGGGAGGATGATATACCCCGAGTAACCACCAACGACTCTAAAGTCCTTAAACAAATCAACGGAATAATGGCCAAGTGTTATGATCCTTTTTGGAGTGAATTTATCACCATTAAAAATCATGACCTAACCATAATGTCCTTGGATCCTTCCCCACCTTGAGGCCGAACCCCAACCCTGGCCAAAACCACCACACCCTAAGTATCCAAACCAACCTTTAAAAACACAACCCAACCCTCCTNCCCTTGTTGTAGCCGAACACAATCACCCAAAAAACCTGCCCAAACCCATGTCACAACCCCCACACTTGTTCCCCATTATGCTCTCCATTATATGTAAGGAAACAAGCTGCAAACAAACAAGACATATTGGCCCACCTTGGCAGCAATCCCACTCACCTTTGCATCTCCATAAACCACCTATTGCATCCCTCCAAAATAGCCAGCCCACTCACCCTTTGTACCCCCTGCCTGGCCGAAACAACCCACCCAAAAACCCCCAAAATAGCAGCCCACTCCACCACAATAATAACCCAACAATAGCCCCACAAGCCAGCCCCTATCTCTGATTTCCTCCCCCACCAAAGGACTCAAATAAGTGGTTATTATTCCTTTAATTTGTGTGAATAAGAGACTAGGTAGTCTCCCTTGTTTTGCTATCTATATTTCGGCCATAGGCCTTGTAAAAGGGCAGATTGTATTTCCCATTTCAGTAGCAATACACTTGTGTGTGTTCTATTTTAAATTCCTATTTCTATATCTTAAGAGTGGTTCTCTTAGGTGTGAGTTATAGGTTCTAGCTATTTGAATAAGTGTGTAATATCTTATTTGAATACTAGATTCACCCCAAGTAAAAGATAAGAGTGTGTAATATCTCTTAACACCTGCTTGGTTTATTCCCCCCTCAAGAAAACAACTAAAATATATACTTCCCTCCTCCACTTTATTTCGGCCACCACCCCAAGAACCCATCCCCTTCTCATTCTCCCCTCTCCTTCCTTAACCACAATCACCCTGAACTTCCCCTCTCTTGTTCCATACGTCCCAGCCCAAAACACCCACAAAACAGCTTTTGCCCTCTCATCCATTTCCCCTTGAAGTTGAGCCTAACAGATTCTTTCATAGTGTTGGAATGGTCACCTTTTCGATTCAACAACAACAATCCTCAAACCACAATCAATAATCACACAAATAAATCACATAAATCAACCACGATAACAATTATAAACTGAATTTCAAACCTAGATGGTAAGAGAGAGAACTTGACCCGAACGGAGGGTAGACGGCGTCACGCACAGTCCAGTATCGCTGCCTAAGCAAGCCCGTCACTGCCCAAGCCCGCCTGGATCTGTCATCGTTGCTGCTCGGTCTCATCCTCACTGTCCATGGTTAAAATTCACTACCCGAACCTCACCTTCGCCGGAGTTGCTGGGTGACCACGGTTGTCAGTTCGCCGGAGAGTTACCGGCTTGCCGCCGCCACTGGATGATGGCTGTTACTCTGCCCGAGCTGCTGGACTTCGCCGGATCTGCCTGCTGTTGCTTGGGGAATCTGCCACTATTTGGGTCATCTTGGCCGGAGTGAAATATGGTCAGACACGGCTATCTCTGAACGTGTTTCCCTTTGTTCTATCTTGGCTAATGTCCTACTTCACATTCTTCTCCATTCCATCCCATTATCACAACAAGACTCCAAGGCAGAGATATCACAGTCAGAAATGTTCACACACAATGACAAAGAACATGAATGGTGTCAATTAACCAAGCATTTAGGGGATTCAACACACATACACAGAATTAGTAAATCCAAAAAATTACAATGGAAAGCACCCTAAAATGAGCAAGAAACGTCATAAAATTGGATTAAACACGAGCACTAACCTGGAGAAAATTTGGTCTACAACCTCACGGTGAACAGTGGCAGCGTAACCCAAATCTGCCAAAACAACAAGAGTCTTCGATTGGAAACAAAATCCAGCTATAGATTCTCTAAGGGCACTCTATATCACACATATCCATCCCAAATTTAACGCTAAAACAGCCAAAACAATAGAATAATTGCACCTGCGAATACAGAAGTGAACAGTAAACACGATGTTCAAATTAGCCCATATTAGCTTTGAATCAACAACCAAGAGCTCATATGAAGGAAGAATGGTTGAAGACGATACCAACGCATAAAAAATCATCAAGATCGAACCGCAAAATCATGTGTAATGGCAATCTATGCAAAGGGCAAGAACAGTGCTGCGAGAGTAGTTCAAAGGTCGTTTGGGTGGTGGTCAGGTGGATGAGAATAGAGAAAAAAGATAAGGTTTTCAAAATTTGAAATGAATTGAAATTGGAAGATTTTGAAAATTTTACGGAGTAAATGAAATTGGTAAATTTGAAGTGGGATTTTGAAACCTTGAAGAGTGAATTATAAAATTTGAAAAATGCTAGGGTACACCAAATGTGTATTCCATTTATCCTCCACCCCCTCCTTGTTTACAAAAAAGGCAAGAAATTCAAAAAAAAAATAAGTAAATAAAAATTAAAATAAAAATGTGTGGTGGAGAAAGAGGTGGTGTAGATGTACCCCTAGCATTGCTCATAAAATTTTATTGCGGTGAAGATTCATTTTGAAATTAGAAGATACGGAAGCCAAATTTTTATACTCCCTCCTACCCCAAAAAAATAAAGTGTTTACTTTTACACTAAATGAACTCTTTTACCATCTCTCTCCTTTTTCATTTCAATGTCAAAATCTCACCCATCCACCCATTCCTATACTATTTAGTGGTAATTTAGAGAAAAAAATATTGACTCTTTCTTCCTTAATTTTGTCTAAAAGGGAAAATTGTAATATAAAAGGGGACGGAGGGAGTACTACTTTTGTACTTGAATATTTGCATAATTTAAATTTTTACAGTCAATTATTTTTAATATTTAATCTATAATTAAATAAAATATATATTGTGTATTAATTATATAAAATTATAGAGTAAATTTCATACAAGGTCCCAGTTATTGGTCATTTTACATATTTAGTCCCTACATATCAAATATTACTAATTTAGTCCCCAATTATAATATTAATTTCCACGAATGATCCTTTGTTAACATTTCCGTTAATAACGTGGATAAAATTGTAAATTCACACTCCTTTCTCTCCTTAATTAAGTTTCATCTCTCCCATCAAATCAAATTCAAATCCCATAAGATCAGGTCAAATCTTTCATGAAAATCTATTCACTTGTATATGTTGTGTCCTATTTGCCTGATCTAATTTTTAAACACATTAAATCAGACCTAATTAGATCGAATTAGACCAAAAAAGATCTAATCTGATCGAATCAAATTCAAATATATTAAGATCAGATCAGATCTTAAAAAACAACTCAATTATATTGGTCGTGTCCTTTTTGGCTGATCTAATCTATAAATACATCAGATCAGAACAAACTAGATCAAATTAGACCAACACAGATCAAATTAGATTAGATCTAACTAGATTAGATCTAATTTGATCGAATCAGACCAAAATAGATCCAACCGGACCGAATCAAATTCGTATCCAATAAGATGAGATCAAAACTTGAAGGAAATCTATTCACTTATATAGGTTGTGTCCTATTTCCCTGGTCTAATCTTTAAATGCATCGGATCGTACGTAATTAGATCAAATTGGACAAAAACAAATCTAATCGGATCAAATCAAATTCAAAACCAATAAGATCAGATCAAATCTTCCAAGAAAATCTAAACTTTTATATAGGTTGTGTCCTATTTTTCTTATGTAATCTTTAAAAAGATCAGATCGAAAATAATTAGATCGAATTAAACCAAAACAGATCTAATCTGATCAAATGAAATTTGAATATAATAATATCAGATCAAATCTTCAAAGAAGATCTATTTACTTGTATATGTTGTGTCCTAATTGCCTTAGATCTTCCCGGTACTGCTAACTGAACTGGTTACTTGCACATATCCAATTCTTCTAAATACTCATATTTTAAGCCATATAAGATCTTACAAGTACTGATAATAACAAGGTAATTGTGGAGATCCAATTCTTCTAAATATGTATACTTTTGAGCTAATACAATCTTAGAAGTATTAATAACTGAACTTCTACTCACACTGATCTAATTCCTTAGGATACTCATACTTTTGACCGTATAAGATCTTTCTGGTACTGATAACTGAACTGTTTACTTGCATATTTTTGGTCATATAATTAAGATCCCATTTTAGATCTCTCCAAAACAACGTTTTCTTCTATCCCAAAAAGAATTTCTTACTTTGATTAACGTGTAAAACCCCGTGATTTTTAAAATCATATTATTTGCAAATTGGTAAAATAATAACACATAAACAATTATATTTAAAAGTTATATCAAAAACTCTACAAAATAAGAGGTGACAAAAGTATTTTATTTTATCAAATGATCAATAACCTTACATATAATTTCACTCAGATGAGATCAAATCAGACTAGATCTTAACATATTAGATCAGACAAGATCAAATCAAATAAGATATCATCAAATTACATTAAATCATTGTTGGAATAAACTGGAAGTACATAGAAAAAATGGGAAGTTTTTTCTCTTCCCAATTTCATTCTCCCTCTTCCCAATTATCAAAAAATTCATTTTCCCTCTTCCCAATTTCATTCTCCGTCAGTCCCTCTTTCCAATTTCATTCTCACTCCTCCCAATTTAATTCTCCCGCTTCCTAATTTTGTTTTTCCTCTTTGCAAGTTTCCTATCACCGCATCTTAATCCATTCAAGTTTCGTATCTCTTCCTCTTTGAGGCGTGGGAACCCAGTGCTAAGATCAATTGCAGACCTCGAAGGTTAAATCTGGGTAAAATTGAAGGTCAACCCTCTTGAGTCATTATTCATCTACGACATTTTGTGGATTAATCCACATCATCAGTTCAAGCTCATTTGAAGGCAATCCTTTGTGGTTTCTTGGGCGACTTGGGATTGAGACCGCGATGTACAGTGCTGCGCAGGGAGTTTCTCACCGTTTCTCTATCAAATTGAGGGCTTTGCTTCAGATTTTTGGAACTCAGGATGTGCCTGCAGCGGGTGAATCCGTATTTGAGGTTATCTTGCTGTTTTTGGAAGTAATTTTGGGCAAAACCGAAGGTCAACACAGCACAGTTACTGTTCATCTGCGAACTCATATGAAGATTTATGGCGTCTCAAGCTAAATTGAAGGATTTTCTTTGTGGATTCTGATTGAAATGGTCTTGTAATCTAAGGTATGAGCATGGATTACAATTCCATTCCAGTAATTCTGTAAAAATCTGGGTCCTTGTTACTCTACACCACTCGGTATTTAGAGTCTGCTTTGCTCCTGTGTTGGACCACGTTTTGTGCAATGTTTTTGTTGAGGGTGATGTTACTATGAAGCTAAATTGTGAGTTGTACCACTAGGCTATTCTCGAAATTGCAGCTGAATGACTGGACTTAGTTTTTGCATCTGTTTTGGTTCGTTTTGGGCTGTTATTTTGCTGTTTTGAATGGTGTGTAAACCAAGTACTGCTATGATTTTTGCTACTTGTGTTGGGTTGAATTGGGAATGGTGATGGCATGGTTTTGGGGATGTGCACTCCTGTTTTGGTTGGGTAAACCTGATTTTGAACCAAAATTGAGTGGGAAGTTTAACTTCGAGCTCGGAAACTTGTGGGATGTGTTATGGGCTGATTTGGTTCGTGGTGGCCTACCATTTGATAGAGCAGCTGTTTTGATTCGTGGTGGTCTCCTATGTGCTGAAATGAACATTGTTTTGGTTAGCCATAGCCTGGACAGTGGCATGATGGCAGGGGGAATTGAGTGGCTGCTTGGGCAGCCTTACCACTGCTTGTACCTCTTTTTGGGCTGTGAATGCAATGTGCTGATTTTTGGGTTGTTTGGATGCTGATTTATGACTTATTCGGTTTGATTCCGCTGAAATGCAACTTGAACTTGAAGTGGCCTGGGCAGTATATGGGCTGACCTATTGCATTTTTAGGACTCTTTGAGAGTTTGCAAGCTGCCTTGTGGATGCCGTGGACAGGTTTGTGTTGCTTTGTGGCCTGCCATTTGATGTGGATAGGTACTTGAAATCATGGAACTACAGATTTGCTGTTTTGATTGCCTTTTTGTACGGCCTGCGTGCCAAGTTGTGGTATTGTTGTATTGTTGTTGTATTCATTTCATGTATGGAACCATTTTTATGGTTCAGCATATAACATTGTTGTACCATTCTGAGTAGGGGTAATAATAATTTACATTTTATCCTTGGGCGACTTAGGATGCTAAAAAAGATTCTGAAGTTGGATTTCCAGTATATGTAAGAATTCGTTCACAGACGAACTTCAAAGTTCAAATTGTGATTTCCCAGGTTTCTTGCTTTCTTTTTCTCCGACTCTCTAGTGCATTTTAGTCATGATTTAGGGTGCATTTCATCTCCTTAACTAAATTTGTAATCCATTAATGAGTGTTCTCTCCTTGAATTTTCTTGGTCTTGAGCACTGTCCATTTCTCCATTGCTACGGGTCTACTTGCCTTGAATAAGTTCCTGGCCTTGATTGGGGCTGGAAACTTTGGTTTTCCTAGCTGTCATTTTCGAACAACAGACTCCTTTGGGGGCTGTGTGTACTATGGTTTGGAGTGGAAATCTCTATTATGTTTGGGGTGTTTGAACTACTATTGAGGTCTATTTGAGCTATGGTGTGTTAGTAATACATTACGGTTTCTCAAAACTCTAAAAATAGTTCTAGGCTTAATAGTCTAACTATTGTTTAAAAATCGTATTCTTAACTTATTATAGACAACTTGTAATTGATTACGGCTTCTATGAATTTCAAAAACAGTTCTACGCTATATAAACACACTACTGTTACAAGGGGGTCTTCTATTCTTATAATAAACAATTCTGCAAAGAAAACCATATGAAACATACAACTAACAATATAATACTATTTCTTATAAGTTTAAAAACAATTATATACCGAGAAACCAGACTTCAGTTACTAAGTAGTAGTCGTAACTAATTATTGACAACTGTGGCAATAAAAACTGTATTTTTTGATGAAACCGACTACTAATGATAGATGACAGTTTCTCACAGCTTCAAAAACAGTTCTACGCATAATACATAGACTATTGTTGCCAAACAGTCTTCTATTACAATTATAAACAACAGTGGCAAAATACCATATGAAACAGACAACAAGCAACACATAACTGTTTCTAAAAAGTTTAGAAATAGTCGTAGACTAAAAGCCCAGAATATTGTTTAAATAGAGTATTT